TAGGCAGGGTGACCCGAAATGAAAGAAAATCCCCAACACGAAAATACTTTCATCATCATTCAACACTTTCACCTCTCTCACACATAATCACTGTTTTTGCCGAGGTGCCCAGATACAACTGTTTAGAAGCATATATAAAAATACAATATAAAAAGTGACCTGAAATAATATAATAAACTCCCTATAGAATATAATATCAGACCCCAATTATATATATATACCGTCCTATTACACATTCCTCCAAACTGCCAATATCCCAAACCCCTCCTTTAAAGTGCAGGCATTGTACTTCCCATTTCCAGTGATCAAGTCCAGCTATATAAAAATAACCGTTTTCCCTGAATCCCTTTACTAAATATTACCCTGCTCACACTCCAACAGCTCGTCAGGTCCCAAAAACCATTCGTCTCCATTCACTCCTAACACGCTCATGCACGCTTGCTGGAAGTCCAAGCAAAAAACCTCCTTTATCCCTTCCCTCCAACCTTCTCGAAAACGACCCCTACCCCGCCTTCCTTCCCCTACAGATTTATTCGCTCTCCATGTCATTCTACTTTGATTCATTCTCTCTAAATGACCAAAGCACTTCAACAACCCCTCTTCAGCCCTCTGACTAATACTTTTATTAACTCCACACCTCCTAATTTCTCCACTTCGAATTCTCTGCATAATATTTACATCACACATTGCCGTTAGGCTGGACATCTCCACTGCCACCTCGCTGCAGTATTTACAACCCAAGCTTCACACCCATATAAGAGTGTTGGTACCAATATACTTTCATACATTCCCTTTTTTGCCTCCATTGATAACGTCTTTTGTCTCCACATATACCTCAACGCTACACTCACCATTTTTCCCTCATCAATTCTATGGTTAGCCTCGTCCTTCATAAACCCATCCGCAGACACCTCAACTCCCAAATATTGAAAACATTCACTTCTTCCATACTCCTTCTCTCCAATGTGATATTCAATTTTTCTTTTTCTAAATCATTTGATACCCTCATCACCTTACTCTTCGCTACGTTCACTTTCAACTTCCTACCTTTACACACCTTCCCAAACTCGTCCACTAACCTTCGCAACTTTTCTTTAGAATCACCCATAAGCACAGTATCATCGGCAAAAAGTAACTCTGTCAACTCCCATTTTATATTTGATTCCCCATAATTTAATCCCACCCGTCTCCCCAACACCCTATCATTTACTTCTTTCACAACCCAATCTATAAATATATTAAACAACCATGGTGACATTACATATCCCTGTATAAGACCTACTTTTACCGGGAAGTAATCTCCCTCTCTTCTACACACCTTAACCTGAGCCTCACTATCCTCATAAAAACTCTTAACAGCATTTAGTAACTTTCTACCTATTCCATATACTTGCAACATCTTCCACATTGCTTCCCTATCCACTCTATTATATGCCTTTTCTAAATACTTAAATGCAATGAAAACTTCCCTACCTTTATTTAAGTACTGTTCACATATATGCTTCAATATAAACACTCTAAAGCCTCCTTGCTCATCCGCAATCCACTTTTCCTGGTATACTCAGTGAACTTATTCCTCTATAATTTTTACAATTTCTTTTGTCCCCTTCCCTTTATATAAAAGAACTATGTATGCTCTCTGCCAATCCCTAGGTACCTTCCCCTCTTCCATACATTTATTAAACAAAAATACCAACCACTCCAACATCATATCGTCCCCTGCTTTTAACATTTCTGTCATGATCCCTTCAGTTTCTGCTTCTTTACCCCTTTTCATTCTACGTAATGCCTCACGCACCTCCCCCACACTCACATCCTGCTCTTGTTCACTTCTAAAAGATGTTATACCTCCCTGGCCAGTGCATGAAATGACCGCCTCCCTTTCTTCGTCGACATTTAAAAGTTCCTCAAAATATTCCCGCCATCTACCCAATACCTCCAGCTCCCCATCTACTAGCTCCCCTACCCTGTTTTTAACTGACAAACCCGTTCGTTCCCTAGGCTTTCTTAACTTGTTTATCTCAAGATAGATATATATATATAGATAGATAGATATGTGTGTGTGTACTTACCTATTTTGTGGTTCCAAGTGTCGATTCATAGCTCCTGGCCCCTCTTCTTCACTGATTGCTAGTAGGTCCTCTCTCCCTGCTCCATGAGCTTTATCAAACCTCGTCTTAAAACTATGTATGTTTCCTGCCTCCACTACGTCACTTTCTAGGATATTCCACTTCCTGACTAACTCTATGGCTGAAGAAATGCTTCCTAACATTTCTTTGACTCATCGGAGTCTTCAACGTCCAATTGTGACCCCTTATTTCTGTGTCCCATCTCTGGAGCATCTTGGCTTTGCCCTCCTTGTCAATTCCGCTCAGTATTTTATATGTCGTTATCATGTCTCCCGTAACACTCATGTCCTACAGTGTCATCAGGCCGATTTTCGTTAACCTTTCTTCGTAGGACAATCTCCTTTGCTGAGGGACTAGTCTTGTTGCAAACCTTTGCACTTTCCCTAATTTCTTGACGTACTTAATCAGGTGTGGTTTCTCAACTGGTGCTGCATACTCCAATATAGGCCTGATGTACATGGTGTACATAGTCTTGAACGATTCCTTACTGAGGTATCGGAACGCTATTCTTGCGTTTGCTAGGCTCCCATATGTTGCAGCAGTTTTCTAGTTGATGTGCACCTCAGGAGATGTGCTCGGTATTATACTCATCCCAAGATCTTTTTCCTTGAGTGAGGTTTACAGTCTTTTGCCACCTAGCCTATACTTTGTCTGCGATCTTCTTTGCCCTTCCCCGATCTTTATGATTTTGCATTTGGCGAGGTTAAATTCAAGGAGCCATTTGCTAGACTAGGCTTGTAGCCTATCCAGGTCTTTTTGTGGTTCTGTTTGATCCTCATCCAATTTAATTCTTCTCATTAACTTCACATCATCCTCAAACAGAGACACTTCTGGGTCTATCTCTTCCGACATGTCACTCACATACACAAAAAACAGCACATGTCATAGGACTGACCCCCTGTGGAATCCCTCTCGTCACAGACGCCCACTCTAACACCTTGTCACGTACCATAACTCGTTGTTGCCTCCCTGTCAGATATTCTCTGATCCATTGCAGTGCCTTTCCTGCTATGCGTGCCTTCTCCTCTAGCTTTTACATTTCCTCTTATGAGGAACTGTGTTGAAGGCCTTCTTGCTGTCCAAGAAAATGCAATCTATCCACCCCTCTCTCTCGTGTCTTACTTCCGTTACAAAGTCATAAAACTTTAGTAGGTTTGTGGCACAGGATTCTCCTTCCTTGAAACCGTGCTGGTTGTCGTTTATAGGTTTGTTTCTTTCTAGATGTTCCACCACTCTCCTGATGATCTTCTCCATGACTTTGCATACTATACAAGTCAGTGACACAGGTCTGTAGTTTAATGCCTCGTGTCTATCTGTCTGTCTGTCTGTCTGTCTGTCTGTCATATCTCAGACCAGTTGAGGACTGATGCCTCCGCAATGACCCCCTAGCCAGCAGCGAGTGCATGTACACATTATTATATACTGGTCAAAGAAACCCCATAACTAAGGGTGCTCAGCAGATACTAAACGATGTTTTCCATAGCACTAGGCTGGTGTCAACTTATTTCATATCTTCGTTCATATGCTGGCCGCCGAAAGATATTCTAAAAATACTTGAGCCACACAGAGAAATTATTTACAAATATTTTACCTCAGACTTGGAGAAGACTTGGACCTCACTGCTTGATTATAGTGGTCCTCAAAGTTCTCTTGGCTCAAATAAAATTTCACTAATACTCATAGTACTATAACTATATTCACAGTACTATAACTACTTAATCATTGCCTTTCTTTTGTAGCTCTTAATGAATCTAGCAGTTCTGTCATGTTTCATCTTAAATCCAGTTATCTTTGTATATAGTTTCTAATTAATTCAGTTATAATGAAAAAAATCCTAGAGAATTACGGCAAACTTCTGCCTCTGTATCTTGAAAATTTTTACAAGTTTTTCCCGAGATTGATCTCTATATTTTATCGTCTTTCTTTCTCTCCCAACTCTACAGCTTTCCTTGATTTGGGTATGTCTATTCATATTTTGATCAGCAATCGTTGTATAACTCCATACTAATTTAGAATTTATGTTTCTTACATCGTCCAATAGAAATGAGTCTCTGGCTTCGTGAATATGTAATGACTTCATTCAACTTGCAGAATGTAAAATACTGGAAACCTGCTCAAAAGAGCCATGCCACCCAGTTGTGGACGGGAGAGATATAGTGGTTCAAGCAGACCGAGAATCGAACCTCCACTACTTCCTCCATTAAATGACTCACACGGTTCAGAGAATTAATTCCTTTAAATATTTGTACTGCAGCGCTGAATGCTCTTTAATGTACTTAACATTAACATAAAATTATTAATAATCTATATTCATTGTAGCTTGAAACAAAATATTTCAGCTCTAAATGTACAGTTTAAAGGCAAAGGATTTTTTAGTCATAAAAAACTCTGTGGCGAACAAAACTTTGTTGGGGTTTTCTTAAATTCATAAAACGGAGTGAGTGGAGTGGTAGGAACAAGACTTACAAAATACAAAGAAAAATAGCAATAAAACGGAGTGAGTGGAGTGGTAGGAACAAGACTTACAAAATACAAAGAAAAATAGCAATAATTACATGAAAACCTTTTGCATTCAAATGTGGGCTGTAATTTCAAACTTTGAATTCAAGGCATCCTTTCAAGAGAGACGCCTCAATGCCGGTGAAGGGCTCTTGATCCAAAGAAACGAAGCTGCTCTCCTTATTCTTGGACAGAATATTATAGCCTCCTATTCCCCAGTGCTTTAGTGTTCCTCCCACTAACTGTATTAATAATTCACCAGGCTAACAGGAGAACATACAGTTTTCATGGGACGATGTAGCTAGAGAGCTTGAGGTGCTTTGAGCATGGTTCTCCGAAGTTTATTACTTTCAAAGGTAATGAAGAATTTCATTATTTTAATGTATTATTTAATACTTAATGACAAACACAATATAATAAATACATAATATTTGCATATATTCGCAGGAATAACCGCACAAAAAAATATTAATGAGTATGACAGATTATGGCGAGAATGTGAGGCCGCAAGCACTTTTGTCGAAAACAATTACTGTGGAGCACTATAGCTGCCAGAGGGACTAGAGCGGGCCCGGGCAGCGTCTTCCTCAGCAGCAAAGGCGATCTGTTCCAAAACAAACTCAGGAATTGGGTGGGGGAATACAGGAGCCACTGGTAACACGTCAGACTGGGGCTGGTAGCCGTTCTCGTCGGCAACGAACTTCACCTGAATGTGACTGCCGTCAGGTGCTGTGTATCTGAAGAAAAATATTTTTTTTTAATTAGTACATGTGTTATTTAACCTCAAAAATGTTTAAGCTTTCGTATGCATAGATGTTTTTTCATTGAATTTTAATTGGTACTCACGAGTATTGTCCTGCCTTGACCACAGCACCCTCAGGACCGCTTGGAGCGCCAGACTGGGACAGGCTGATGCCGTTGCCAGTTTCAACGTCAAGGTTATATCTTCCGTCGTCTTCGTGGACACGATCGTCCTTCAGAATAGGCACAACCTCGCGAGAGTCATCGTAACGACTAGGAGCCGCAGGGGCGGAGTACCCTTGTGGGGCAGCAGTGGCCACAGTGGCCAGTACGGCGAGGACTGCCTGTACAATGTAGATAATAACATTAATTTATTTTATATAGTGTTTATCGTGTACCTAGTGCTTTATACACATAGAGAGAAGTATATATATTATATATATATATATATATAAGAAGAGAAGACATATCAACCAAGTTTTCATGGTAAGGGAGAACCAACATATTTTTAGTTGAATAAGGCTGGTTGTCCCTTTTTGGACAAAATATGTTTGTTCTCCCTTACCATGAAAACTTAGTTGATATGCCTTCTCTTCTTAAGACTTTTAATATTAAAGTTGCATTTAAAAATCTTGATACAGTAAAAAAAAACTTTTGATGAAGAATTCCCCCCAAAATGCTAACGGATGTGTCTATAAGATTCCTTGTAAAATTTGCAATAAAGTTGATTACGGTCAAACTGGTAAAAGTCTCGAACTAAGATTAAAACGACATAAATATAGTATTAGTACTGGACAAGATTCCAATGCTCTATTTATTCATGTGAGAGATTTTAACCATCCAATTGATTTTCAAAAAGTTGAGAAAATTGTACCAAGCAAGTCCATGGTCGACAGGAATATAACTAAATCTTGTTTCATAAAAAGTAGTTTTGAAAATAATATGAATATTTCCTTTGGTTTATATAAATTAGATAAGTTTATAATTAATAGAGTTTGGGAAGAATTTAATAATACATTGGACAAATAATAAATCTTAATTCTTGGGCAGAATAGTTTGTTTGTGGGTTGCTGTGAAAGACCTGTCTAGTTGGGCCAGCGGGCCTGCTGGAGTGTTCTCTTTCTTATGAGTCGTGCGTCAGGTGTTGCTTTGTTGTGGAATGTGATGGTGAGGTGTGGTCTAGACCCTTTATATGCCTTCCTTTGATGCATTACTTTTATTGTTTCATGATAATGTAAGTAGTCACGAAAGCGCTTGGAAACTCGCTTTTCTTTCACAGTTGATGTTGTGCATATTCTGAAATCACCTGTTTAGCGTGATCTTATTGTGATATATATATATATATATATATATATATATATATATATATATATATATATATATATATATATATATATATTAGTGTGTGTGTGTGTGTGTGTGTGTGTGTGTGTGTGTGTGTGTGTAGTGTGTGTGTGTGTAGTGTGTGTGTGTGTGCTGTTGTGTGTGTGTTGGATGTGTGGTGTGTGGTGTGTGTGTGTGTGTGTGTGTGTGTGTTGTGTGTGTGTGTGTAGTGTGTGTGTGTGTGTGTGTGTGTGTGTGTGTGTGTGTGTTAGTGTGTGTGGTGTTGTGTGTGTGTGTGTGTGTGTGTTGAGTGTGTGTGTGTGTGTGTGTGTTGTGTGTGTGTGTGTTGTGTGTGTGTGTGTGTGTGCGCGCAATAAGATCACATGTAAACAGGTGATTTCAAATATGCAAAAAACCACTGTGAAAGAATAGTGAAATTCCAAACGCTTTCGTGACTTCTCACATTGAAAGACATATTTACATGAATTAATGTGACTTACAAAATTAATATTTTTCTATCAGAAGTAACTTACCAGACTGACCTGCCTACTGAAATTAAAATTATACTGATCAATCCTTCCTAACTTGTCTAATGTGAGCCCAAATTAATTAAAACAAAAAAAATTAATTTCGAAATATTAAGATAGATTTTTACCGAATTATTGCAACAGTGACTGTTTTTCATCTGTTTCTCTCTAACGATATTTGATGGTTACTCTAGGTTGGAAAATTCGGCTTAAAAGCATGGCATATACTTCAACTATTATAGAATTAGTGTTATAGCTATTGTAGTTGCTGTTATTATTATTGTTATTATTATTATTATTATTATTATTATTATTAGTTACACTATGTTTATGAAGAAACATTAAACCGATAAGGGTTACACACCGCCCGACAAAATGGGAGGTTTTATCCCAGATAAAAGATATTGGTCGAATTCCTTGAATTAATGGTCCTTCACCAAGATCAAGTCACCTCCCTATAATGGGTATAATAGAAAGTGTAAGTCTGTACGAAAGTTCATTATAATTGAATGTATAATCCCAAGTGAAAGCTTCATATTTTTTTTCCTAGAGTTATATCGATTTCGTGTACTATCACGTGAAATTCAAATGTTTGCATTAATAACAGCCATTGCAAGCGTGAAAATTGTGTAGATTTCAATAGAGTCAAAACTTTTAAATAGTCAATGCAACTCGAACTGTCAAACCAAACTTGTTATTTTATTAAATTTCAAGAGTTACTAGCACACGAGAGTCATTAAAGATTCATGTAACCTTAACACCACCATTCAAGGATAAATTCATCCCTATCATAGGTATATATGTTGAGAGATACACATATGTTAATGTATATAACTTTGTACACCGAGTGACTCGTATACTTACTAAATGCATGGTGATGGACACAAGAAGGAAGTGGTGTCTGAATCCCCGTGGCGCCCGTATTTATAGTCCAACCGTGGTAACCAATAGTTGCCAGTTGTGCTGAGATGAGGTCTTCACAAGCCAGTTTTTGTTCCTGTCTTATTTTCGGACACACGTGAGTGGAATTACGTGAATTACAAATTACTGATACATATTTTCAGCACTCAAAATAGTTTCCATTGCTTTATGTAGCGTTCCCTTGAGATTGTCTATCACATGCTGGTAGTTGTTTCAAATATATAATATAGCACTGACTGAATAAATGATACTTATGTTACACGGCTTTATTGAACCTCACTAAAGATAGGCTCATCACACCTTGTCTGCATTGCCATGAACTTTAAACCGGTTCTTGCGTATGAACGTTTTTCTTTTACTTTCATCTCGTGAGAGGATGCACGTCAAAATAATATGATGAAGAGTGTTGCAAGAGTGGAGAGCACAAAACGCGGGAATTTCACTTTACAGTAATATGTAACACAAAGTAATATGTGACACAGTAATATGTGACACAAAGTATGTGCACTGTTTAAAACGTATTCAGAGACACTTACATGTGCACATGTGAACGTGGCTGATACATACATACGAAGGTACACACGTACATAACCACATATATACGAAGGAAAACACGAATATTTGCATAAAATATACTTTCTTAATATTATATCGCTCTTCTCTTCATGCGTTCTCTTTTTTTTTTCAACATCATTCAGGTTTCTCCCTCTCTCTTATCAAAGTATCTTTTATATCTTGTTTGTCAAATATTTTTATTCGAAGCTTTTTTTCATCTATTTCTCCGAGGCTGTTGATCCCTACAGTTTGCACTGGAGGTCGACCCATCTGTAATTTTAACACATCGGCCGTCTCCCACCGAGGCAGGGTGACCCGAAAAGAGGAAACACTTTCACAATCACTCTTTGGTAATCCTTCGTAATGGATACCCAGGACTGAAACGTTCTCTAATAAATATATCCTAGTGTTTGCTCAACTATCTTTCTCAACAAATATTCTTTCCTTAACCGTCTTGACAGACGCTCCTCCAAACTGCAATATCCCCCCTTCTTCTCCTTCAGAATCCAAAAGTGTACTCATTTTCCTCAATTTATTCATATATTGTTGAGATTTGCATTCATTTTTATTTTTTTAACAAATTTTTTGGGGGTTATTTATGGTAAGAACGTAAGAAGGAATGAGAACCGCAGTAAGCCTACTGGCCCATGTTGGGTAAAAGGACAGACACATCTGCAACTAATGTGACATGTTACTGAGGCAATATTTCGATCTCCAGGAGCGAAACTTTTCCAAAATTAAATGTCACATTCGTTGTACATGCATCCTTTCAATTAATATTACTACTGGCCCATTTTAGGCAGGTTCATCCCAAACCCACTCATGTACGTGTCTAACAGATTTTTAAGGTTACACAAGTCGTTTATATAAATTATTATCAGTATTATCATAAGTAAGCGCTAAACCTGTAAGGGTAATACTGAGTCAATAGAATTATATTCAAAACAGGAATGGGGCAAACGCCGATAATTGCGGCACATCATTGGGCCTACTAATTTGTGTGAAGAAAATAACAGCAGGCATACTGGACCATACTAGTCAATTTCAAGTTACACCCTCTCAAGAATGAAGAAACACTGCAGAACGTCTACTAGCCAAAGCTGGTTAAGTCCAACTCACATCCACCCACAACACCCATTCATGCATTTGTCTAACCTATTTCAAAACTACACAACGTTTTCTAAAATATGAATTCTAGAGAAGGACAGATTATTTTTCTCTTTTCTCTCGTTTATCTTGCCGATCTTGCTGATTTAATATACTGTCGTCCTTACCAGCATTTACCCAGTGTTTAACGTTTATCATTTGGACAGATCTGAAATACAGTTCTTACCATCTGTACAGTATTTGGATTAGCAGAGGTAGCATGAGAATAATTTTATCCAACACGGTCATGGGTTCTTAGCCTTTTTTTACGATTACTGACCCTCATTGGATGGCCCAATATGTCCACATACCCACTTCCCCAGACTGTCGAAATCATCATCTTCATCATAGGTCTTATTAGGTACCAGTATGACTTCAAATGTTGTCAGTATGGATAGCTAGGAACACAACTCCAAGAAAATAATAGGGATTTTATCTTATTTATTTATAGAAAAACGACAAACTGTTCAGAGATCGAGTCCCATACCGCCATTATTTGGTTCCCATACCAACAATGGATATGGATATTCCCGGTTAAGAACCTCTGCGATAGAGGTTACCCTTGAACCACCGAGTCTGAATAGTAAGCTAGCGGATATTTCTGGTGAGTGTATCCATAGAGTTATCGGCTATTTAACCTTCACCATTGTTCAGCTAAGCCATATATTGGGTCGACACCTCGGAACGGGTTGCCTACTGACAAACGTCTTTGTCAGGTGATTTCTCCCCTAACGAATACATAAAACGACATGTTTTCACTGTTTTCAACCAATCATTGTGAGTTGCCGTCTGGGTCTATGCAAGTTTTTGTTTAGTAGTTCCCGTCGAGACCTGTATTTTGCTCAAGGTGAAAACCTCATCTTTTATATGCTAAATTTGTTGTGTTTTCTGTATACTAAACTAACTTATCCTCTTTATTATGAGTTAGCCGTTCTTTTTTGTAAAGAACTACCTGTGACAAGTTTCGAGAGCTTTTATCACCTCCCACCTTCCTCAGTTGGAATGGAGCCAGGCTTTTCTGCTGAATGCCCATTCAACCCGTCCTTTGCTATTAGTGGCATACTGGCCCACATCCATTACAGCCTAGTTGATCTAGAACTTGGCAGGAGTGGTAATCCAGTTTCCTTCTGGAAACTTCTACTTACGTTCCGGCAATATTTTTCATATCTGTTGGCAGCAGGTTCAATGCTAACTTAGAAGCTGGATACTGGCAGTGTTCTCTTATTGTTCCCTTATTGTCTAGTTTACACTTATTTAGTTAACTTCCTCAACCTCCTTAGTTTTGTCATAATGGTCCAGTAGTTGGGAAAAGCATAGTCTTACCTCTCCAAATCTTATGATGTATAAGCCATGCTATTCCATAAAATTTGTAATTTAGCGTCTCACTACACTTTCAATGAAGTTTTTGATGGACTGAAGAAGCCACTGTGTGACGAAACGTTCCCTTATAATAATTCCCATATATTACATAAGTTTCTCATTCTTCAACTTGTCGGTTTTCAAACCATTTATCTCTTCCGATGAGAGTTATTAGTGGTTCTGATTTGTATTTTTTCCCCAGAGATTTGCTGCCTTCTTTCTTTTTTTCAAAGAATACTGAGTGTTCCTGATAGTGGTATTTTTCACTTCTATATATGAATATACAGTTTCATTAATCAGTCTCTGGTGCTGCGTATGTGGACTTGTTTTCTATTTTCATTTAAAATTTTGAGAGATTTAAGTATATGTCAGATACACGATTTAAAAGGTGACTATAACTCATTAAGTGGATTGCTAAATATTATTTTACGCTGGTCTTTCAAAATGTCACTCATTTAGTTTACGTCATCGGTTTATAAACCTCCTGTGACTAGCTGACCATTTCTAGAGATTGTTTTTAACAAGCATTTCCCTTATGCCAAGAAATATTTTAAGGTTTTATTTCTGAACCTCGTGGGTAGAACTGATGACGTCCGTCTGGTATGAATGAGTTTGGGGGGGGGGGGTACTGCTGCTCTTATCGAGTCTCTCGGTGTAATTTTCTTCCCTTTGTTGTCATGTTCTCTTTCATTAATTGATATTTTTGTAAGCTGTCTTCCTGCGACCTATTTGCATGCTCACGTTCATTTACATTATAGTTTTGCACCCATTATATCACTGAACAAAACATTCATTACATATGGCTTCTGTATATTATTATTATTATTGTTCGTTTTTTAAATCCTGATATTATCATGAAAAGAATGAGAAGCTAGTTTGGGAGTCTGTGGGGGGGGTCTTTATTTAGTATAATCTGATAATGTACCACTTATAATATGGCGTGTAAACAGTTGTACAGAAATCCCCTGCTCACATCTAGTTTTGTGGATTGTGTTGGGGCTGTTTAGTTCGGCGCGGTGTAAACTGACACTGCTTTACCACTGCCGCGTATTTCTTTTAATCCCTGTGTTTCGTTTTCTCTGTCCCGGTTTTTCTTCCTCTCTCTTACTAAATTTTGGGGGGGTTTAAAAATATTTGTTTTCAAGGGTGTTATGAGTTTTTCTGTCTAGCCTTCTCTGATTATACTTCATTAGATTGTGCCTTTCGTGCTATTGTTTTGATATTGTCTCCTCGTTTTTTGGCATTGAATAGCTATTCCCGTCTCGTCTTCGCTGTTCTGAACACGTGTTTATACCCTTTCACTAGCTTTGTAATCCGTATCAACTTCATTTTCCCTTTTCATATCTTACTAGCAAGCTCTCCAAGAAAGAGTTTTTTGTTTTTCTGGTCAATAGTATTCAATATATGTCATGAACCTGCACAGTGTTCTTTATATTTCTCAGAAATTCAGTAATATTTCCTTTGTTCTGTCCAATTGCTAGCAGCCGAAGGAATTCCAGCACAGGAAATACGATACCAGTTTCTGCATATCACACATTGTACTCTTCTAGTGGTACCTCTAAATTCTTTCACAATTTTCCTCCGCAGAGTTTATTCCATGATTGCCATTGCTGACAAGTAATGTGGCTTTAGTGGTCATGCATTCTTGTGGGGGTGGTTATTTCTTATTTGCATTAACCCATGTTACGCACAGAGCCGATCCCAGTTTTTGCGGGAAAGTCTCTTTAATCTACATTGATTTACATGACCGCATTGTGCATGGGGTTTGTAGTTCCTTTTCCTTAATAATGTGAGAAGCTCGAAAACGCTTGAATTTTTCGCTGTTTTTTCACAGTGGTTGTTTAGCATATTGTGATATCACCTGTTTACTGTGATCTTATTGCATATATATGGATGCGCAAATTTTTGGTATAGAAAGATCTAGCACATGTTATTAACTCGCTTTTCAATCT